CCCATCCTCTGGAACTCTCTACCCCAATTTATCAGACAATCGCCTACTCTGCTCACTTTTAGGCGATCTCTGAAAACCTCTCTCTTCAGGGAAGCCTATCCTGCCCTCAGCTAATAATGGAATCTTCTACTCCTCCTACCAGTCCATCCCCCACAGTTACTACCTTTTGTACCACTAGCCCCTCCCTCTTAGATTGTAAGCTCCAAGGAGCAGGGCCCTCCTAGCCCTCTTGTATTGAACTGTAAGCATTTTTTTCTTAAACTTATCCTTTAAGGAAAACTCCGGGCACGATAAAAAACTGACTCTTGTAGTGCCCCCCCCCCCACACTGCAAGGGTTAGCTGTTCATTAAATCTAAGAAGGGATATGGACTAACACTTACCTTACTCCTGTAGGCTTCCTTCCTCTGTATGACCTGTCCTGCAAAACTCGCTTCTTGCAGTCACATACCCTTGCATTGTACGCCCACATCCCACAGCAGAGAAAAGTGGTGGAGCAGAATTGTAATGTGTTAAGTAACGCAGCCACCTCATCTTCCCATATACATAAGGATCATTTAACCCTTGGAGGAAAGGGGGAGGTGAATGGCATGGCTATTCCTTTGCAAAATAGCTTTGTAAATCTCAGAACTGGATGGACAGTAACACAAACCCTTTAGAAAAAAAAGCAGCACCATCTCTATTTATATTTAGCTATTTGGTTGGAGTTCAGTTCTAAAACTCCTATCAGTTTGTTTTTGCTGTCTGTGTCCTGTTGGGGAGATTTTCTTGAAATTTCTGTTCCAGAAATGCAACAGAAAGTCAGGAGGAATTAGGTGTCCCCATTGAAAGACTTATCCTCACCTCTCGTTATGGTGACAACTATAAAATGTTGGATCTCCCATCACTTTGCACCTTGACAGGGTGGTAACCAAGATAAATTAAAAGCCCGAATTTGCCTAACGGAGACCCAAAAAATGACAGGAGTTCTAATCCTTCTCTATTCTATCCCAAAACAGGTTAGTCTATACAATCACTCATGAAAAATAGCTGAGTAAATTTTAGCTAGCCATGCACTGATAGATTAGTTTTGCTACGCAGACTGACTGCAAAAAATCCAATATATTCCTCCATCCATGCTAAACAGCACAGGACAAATCTCCAGCTGCAGCTACTGTATTTTCACAACTGACCCTGCCAGCTGTCAAGATACTGACCAACGGTTGCATCTGACTGTATACAGCTTGTTTTGGGCTGACAATGTTCCACCCATGTCCTTCGATTTTTCAAGTCAGGAAGTGAACAAAAATGTGTCGAGTAGATGGCAATGGGGTTTTAACCATTCTCTACTCCAAAATTTAATAAAACATTTTGACTTTTGCTATTTTTTTTTAATTTGGGCAACAGGAGCTTTGAACCATAATGTGCCTTTATGAGGAGCATATAAGCACATTATGACACTTACCTGACTACTGATGCCCTCCATCAAGCACTGTGCTGCCAGTGCTCCTATCAGTCACAAGTGCTGCCATCTTCTCCGAGTCTTCCTTCCAGGTTCCAGGAATCTTCGGTTGCTTATTTGTCCGGGTTGCAATGACATCACTCCTGTACATACGTGGAGTCGCATCATTACAGAACAGAGTGATGCTGTAAATGTATGCTGAACAGAACAGTGCACACATATGCTGACAGGCATGAGGATTTATGACAGTAGAGACCACTAGGGTCTCTTTTGGTCATACAAATTCTGTCAGCATTTTTTGGTTCATTTCCACTTTAAAGCAGACCTTAAAAATACAAGGTTCATTTTGCTGATCTCCCATGAATGAGAAACACCTAATGAATGCTGTAAAAAATAAAGATTTGTGAATAAAAAATATACCTTTCACCTGGCTTCTGCCTACTTGCTGGAGGTAGCGATGATGTTACTGTCACGAGAAATTGGGTGTTACAAATCCCATGAAAATTCCATCTGGGGTGCTCAGTTTTTATTAAGATGAGGCACAGTGACATCACAGGTATATGTATACCACAGTTATATGCAGTGGCCAGATGCAACCAATCACAAACCAGATTTCAGTATGTCTACATAGTGTAGTAATCCACGGTAATCATGTTTTTAGCTTACCACAGTCACATTTTAATTAACACAGTTTGGGCTTATTTACACTTGCGGACATCCTTGCCACCCCTCTGAAAAGCAATCCATTGTGGATTGCTTTTCAGAGGCATTTGACAGATGGCGATATGTCGCCCCCTACACAACTCTTGAAAGCTCAATGCGCTGCAACCACGTGCATTGCAAGCGGTTGCAGGGTAGCCCCATCCACGTGAATAGGTTGTTTTTAATAGTGTACTGCCCACCATATGCAACCTGCAGTTTCATTTTTGTGTGTACCAACATATCCAGCAGCCATGTTAACTTGAGGCAGGGTGGTCGCTAAAACTGCAACTCAACTGCCTATTTCTTCTGCTGTCCGTGTAAATGTGGCCTTATTGTAATTACTCACAAGATGCCCATCTTCCCTATTACACTGCAAATAAAGTACTCAAACAAAAAAAATATAGGTATAAAAGTCATATAGTTTACTTTTTCCATTGCTGATATAGCAATATTCTGTACATTAAGTTGTTTTGCAAAAAAAAAAAAAAGAAAAAAAACACACACACAGAAAAAACATACAAACAAAATAAAATATAGTAAAGAACTGTACATGCATAGTTATTGAACACATACTTTTTATCTCTCCAAATGGAGACATACGTATAATCTCTCTATAACCGTTTTGTAGCCAATATTATGGCTTAACATTGGAATATATCCAACACGTTATATAAATATATAACTTATCTTTATGCTTTATGGTACATAGTTGCTGTACATAATGGTGGTGTGTGTGTATATATATATATATATATACACATATACATACACACACACCAATATATATACATACATATATATATATATAATTAAAAAAAACAGTGCAAAAACATGATTATACAAATGCTACATATAAGGTTTGTACATGTCTATTGGTTTGCATAAGCTACAACTGGGAACGTAAAAAATGCAAAAGCAGTGGCATGCAATAAACCATGGAACCAATCAGATGGGATCTTTCTGGTTGCCAGAGGTTAAAGCTCAGTACTACTTTTTGCAACTTTTTAAATAAATAAACCAAGTTGTGTTGTTAGATGACAACTCCTCATATCCAGAATAAGCTACACAGGCGATTAACCCTCTCTACTACTGACATTTAACTGCTTGTTGGCATTCATCTCATTATCATTACATTTACTCCAGAGTGCTGCATATTAGATAACTGCCAATAAGTGCTTAATTCTAACAGTAACAGACATTTAATCATTTGTGTAGCCTTAAGCTGGCCATATATTATACAATCAGATTGTATATTCTTCTTGGGATTCACTAAAATGATTTGGTATAAGGACAAATCTAGACAATCCAATGAATCTGCGTTCAGTCACGCTAGCTCTTGCACTACCTAGCTGATGGTAAATCTTAACCATCCCTAAAAAAACGCTGCTTAACTCCTGTAGGAGAAAAAAACGTCTTTAAGACAACAATGTGCATGAGGCCTAAAGGAGATTGTACAATCGTATTGTAGTATATGGTCAATCTAAAGGAGGCTGTACAATCAGACTGTATAGTGTATGGTCAGCATAAGCCACAGCCTGACCATACACTATGCAATCTGACTGTACAATCTCTTTTAGATCTACCATCAACTATGTAGTACAGGGATCTGCCAGATTTGATGATGGACTAATTAGGTGTGTCCTCATATTACATAGTTTTGGTAAATCTAAAGCAGATTATACAATCAGATTGTATCATGTATGGCCAGAGTAAGACAAAGCCTGACCATACACTATGCAATCTGATTGTACACTCTCCTTTACATCTACCATCAACTATGTAGAGCAGGGACCTACCTGATTTGATGATGAAGTGTTTAGATTTGTCCTCACATTACATAGTTTGGGTAACTTTAAAACCGATTGTATAGTATATGCCCAGCTTAGGAGGAGCTGTCATATTGGACAACCCAAACCTGATGTCGCCAGCCCCTCCAAATAAAGATTGGCATTGGTGGTAGTTACATTCACAGCAATAACACAGCTAGGTGCAGACTACCTTACCAATCTGACTATGTTCGCTCAGCTAAGTATAAACTGATCGTTTTTTGTTATTTTTGTAATGGAACAAAAGCTAGAGTTTATCTCCAGATATTGAGTGCGGATAAGTATCACAGTGCATGCAATACAAAGGGAGCTGGGAAAACGGAGTTCTGATAAATCCACATTCCGAGCTGGATCACCACCTCCCCGTGGCAGACGCAAGCGTTCTCAATAAATCAATCTTTTGCAGTCCAGCACATAAAGAGTTCTCTTTTGCAGTCTCGCTTTCCCTTTGCTCCTTGATCGGGGAAGGTATACGGGAGAGAGGTGTTTATTTTTCAATTCTCCCTGGTCGTTCGTTAAACAAACCTGAAACATTGAAGAAAAATACAGTTATTATATAAAGGGCGGAACAGGCTGGACACAGGCAGCAGTGTTGTGGAACAGGGCGAAGCTAGTACAGCTCAATCTCTTCTCCCCTCGCCTTCTCTTCCAGCTCCCTGCCAATAGAAGACCCTGCCCTTGTTTATCTTGCGAACAGCTCTGCCTCCCTTCCCCCACATTCTTCCCTTCTTGTAACCCCCCTTTCCCGCCAGTACAGCTTGTTTTGCAACTTTTTTTTTTTTTTTTCTCTTTTAAAGAACTTTCCAAGGAGGAGCTAACAGAGATTGAGTAACTGCATGGAAAAAAAGAGCAAACTCCCACTTTCTACAACCAAAACAAGCTCACCAAGACAACTCTGCACTTTTGCAAATTACAGTTCCTTGCCCCCACCCTACGAACCGAGCTGTCCTCAGGTCACACCGGTAATTTAGGTCCTATTTACAGACATTCTGACGTTCTATAGGTCCACCACCCTAGATTACTCACCAGAGTTTCATCGGATTTTTTTCCTAGGGGTCTGTTCCAAAGTGCAAATGGGATTGACCGCTTTTTGACTGTCGATTTTGGTAACTTGTTGTTTTTTCCGCTTGGGGAAATAGTCTAAAGGAAAGCAGAAAATAAACATGATTAAGGGAGAATTTTTTTTTTTGCTCTACAAGTAGCAGAAAATTAAATATCAAGCAGAATTAGAGTAAACAATCAAGATTTAGGATAATACATCTGGATCTCATGACACTTTTCATCCAGTATTTATGAATCAGAAGTCCATACAGTCATTTAAACCAGCAATCAAGTGGATCTAGTTGAGCCCACCTCTATACATACATGTATATTGATATCTAGTTTGTTTGTTTTTTTACAACAGAAAGCTGGTTGAAATTGCCCAAAAAACAAATATGTCTATGGCCAGAATGAGTGTCAGCATCATCACTTACACCAGCCAAATTTATCATGCCAAACTATGTAGTAGTAGCTGGTCACATTCGACTGGACTGGTTCTGTAGTGTTGTAGCTTCTTCAAACCACTTCTTCAGCTTACAGAAGCTACAAAATGTCTTCACAATTACAGAACCAGTCCAGTTTATTGTGACTGACCATTACTATATCTTCAATGTCACAGAACCAGTCAAGTTTATTGTGCCAATCTATGTAGTAGTAGTTGGTCACATTCGAATGGACTTGGTTCTGTAGTGTTGGTGCTTTTCCAAACCACTTCTTCAGCTTAGAGAAGCTATAAAATGTCTTTGAAAATTACAGAACCAGTCCAGTTGAAAATGACCAATTGTTACTAGATACTACTAGAAATTTATCCTATATTACAGAACCAGTCCAGTTGAATGTGAGCAACCACTACTAGATATACCTTCAACATTACAGAATGAGTCCAGTTTATTGTGACTGACCATTACTAGATATATCTTCGATGTTACAGAACCAGTCAAGTTAAATGTGAACAAATACTACTAGATAAATCTTCAGCGTCACAGAACCAGTCCAGTTGAACCCAACTAACCACTACTAAATAAATCTTCAATGTCACATAGCCAGTCCAGTTCAACCTGACTACTAGATATATCTTTAATGTCACAGAACCAGTCCAACTGAATGCAATGAACTACTACAAGATATATCTTCAATATTACAGAACAAGTCCAGTTGAACATAATTACCTACATATACCTTCAGTGTTATAGAACCAGTCCAGTTGAGTGCACCCAACTACTACTAGATATATCTTCAACATTACGGAACCAGTCCAGTTGAGTGCACACAACTACTACTAGATATATCTTCAACATTACGGAACCAATCCAGTTGAAGGTGACCAACTACTAGATATATCTTCAACAATATGGAACCAGTCCAGTTGAAGGCAACCAACTACTACTAGATATATCTTCAATATGGAACCAGTCCAGTTGAAGGCAACCAACTACTACTAGATATATCTTCAACAATATGGAACCAGTCCAGTTGAAGATGACCAACTACTACTAGATATATCTTCAACAATATGGAACCAGTCCAGTTGAAGATGACCAACTACTAATAGATATATCTTCAACAATATGGAACCAGTCCAGTTGAAGGTGACCAACTACTACAAGATATGTTATGACATTAGTGTCAACCTTATCATTTGATCCGTTATAAAGCGGTGAGGGATCTTACCTGTGATAACCAGGCAGCTCTCTCTTTTCCTGAGCTGGGTTGGTACTTTGCTTGGCCCTTTAACTCCCTGGCATCTCTTGACAGCCTTGTCGGCGTTCTCCTTGGCACATTTTGGGTTTTCTCGGGTGCCCGTCACTTCTGCTGGAGGCTCTTCCTTGGCATCCACTTGTGCTCCTGCCAGCCTGGTGCACAGGGGGATCTGCTGCTGCTGCCTGCTCGCTGGGGTATTGCTGGCAGGGCACAGTCTGCTCTCCCGGTAAAAGCTGGGCATCTCCTTGCTCTCCAGGGGCTCCCAGCAGAAAGTGCCCTTCAGGGGGGCACCGGCCTCGAAGTCGAAGTTCCAACGTTGACAGTCTGAAGCTTGGATCTCCTTCAGTTGCCTCTTCAGCTCCGATCGTAGCTCGTCATGATCGATGGGGCCGAATAGACTCCTACAGACGCCCCGACCGGCGGAGCTGAGTGCCAGCCTGGGCAGCGCCGGCATGCCGTCCTCCTGCAGCGCGACGTTGAATGTGGCCATGGCTGGGATGGTCGGGGGGCTGTGCGGGACGATGTGCGGCGCTGAGTGTGATGTGTGGATGTGTCCGGGCACGGCTCGGGGACTTTATATACAAACGGAGCGCAGACTAGACGGACAGAAAAAAACACTCAATAATAAGGCGGGGACTGGGAGAGGGAGGGGCGGGGGACTGGGAGACAGGGGCGGGGACTAGCAGGAGCTAGAGGAAAACAACAGTACAAGGCTGGAGAGACAGATTCTTCTTTTTTTTTTCTTTTACCTTTTCGGTTTGGCAGAAGGGGCGGGGCCTTGAGATCAGGTTGGAAAAAAAAGATAAGCCCTCCCCCCTGATTGGTCCCCCTCCCTTCCTTCAGTTAAAGGGGAGGGGTGGAGGGGACAGTGCCATTGACGTGTATAGAGGATCTGATGTGTTCTGTCTTCCCTCCGGGCTGCCCGTTATTCCAGCTCAGGGATCTGATTTCCTTTAACCCTTTGTGCTGTAAAGGTGGCACAGCCAGAGCAGACAGTGATCATCGCCCCCTGACAGTGTGCAAAGGGAGAGATCCCCCATTAGTGGCCTGACCTACACTCGGGTGGGTGCACCCGGGGGCTTATTTTACAAAAGGCGATGGAAAATCTGAAACTGAATTCATACGGGTGGCCGGAGGCGCGGGTTCAGCCAAGTGTGTGGAGCGTTTACAAGCGTACAGCTGCTGCACCCAAGAGTAACACCGAGAAAGCCCCAAACCCTCTTTTTTTTTTTTAGGGACCCATTTGTTCCAGCTTGAATAGGCTGCCCTCTGCGTATTTGTTGCCTCAAAAAACGTTCCTTTTCAGGTGACATTTACGCGATTATTAAAGGAACGGGTTTCAAGCGACTGCTGTGCGACAATCACGCAGAATCTTACCACGATTGGGGTGCCGTTGAAGGATAATGGCGCCTAAATGCACGCTGCGCATTGTGTTGAGATTGCCGTGCAATTTGGAATTGTGCCAACTCTGCCCGCAATTTAAAATCTGAACTGTGAATGGAGCCTAAATCATGCCATACCTAACTGAATGGTGCTGCGGCGCGAAGTCACGCCGCAGGTGCTGATGCGTGGGGCTGGCTTTAACAAAGTGGTTGTAAAGGTTAAAGGTTCTTTACCTTCATGCATTCTTAAGTGACATGTTTGTTATTTTTAAAAAATATTTACCTTTACAATCTGTTTAAAGTGAATCATTTTGAGCTCTGGTTCACACCGGTGCAACTTGTCATGTGATTTGACAGTTCCAAATCGCATGACAAGTTGCATCCTATTGTCGGCAATAGAAACCGTTCAAATCGGAGCGACTCAGACTTTGCAGTGCAGCATTGATTTGAAAGGTTCCTGCACTATTTTTTTGCAATTTCAGGTGTAACTTGCAGAAACATTTGTGCATGAAGTCGAACAGATGTCAGGCAAATCGCACCTGAAATTGCATTGACCTGCGGCTTTGGAATCAAAGTCGGATTCAGCGTGAACCAGGGCTTAATGAAATTCTACTAGTGTATGGCCAACTATAGAAGCTGCATACAGATCTCCACACATGAGTGAGCCTTCACTATTCTATAACATTGTATCAGTCAGTCATGGGCACAAGCTGAACAAAATACACTTGGATGCAATGTAATGTTTTTTTCCCGCTGTGAGAAGGACTAGTGTCACTGTGGCTAACAACCATCACCTTTCATATTTATTCAGTCTATAGGAGGAAGCAGGCACCAGAATCTTTTATAATATTAAAGCTTTACTAACCCCAGGGCCCTGCATTCACTATATCTGGTCTCCCACAGTACACAGAACATGGAAATACAATTATTTTAGTAAGTATTAACTGCTAAATAACTTTTCTCATCAACATTATATAGCAAGGTTGTGACTTCTATTAGTGTCCAGCAGAGCACTGGTTAAAGCTTGTAGGAGGAGTTTCCATTATCCTTTGACTGTCCTATGAGGCAGCATTAGCCCTGGCCCTCTGTTTGGACAGTGCTCATTGATCCTGTGCTGATTACATGCACCCTTCCAAGTAAAAGAAAAAACTCTCTTGGGGACAGTAGAATAAGAGGAGGATCAGAGAAGACAGGATCAAACATCCTTTTTACACAGTGCGGAGATTTAATCTCGTACATTCCACAATGAGTATAACAGGCATGATTTACCGCATATGCCAGGGGTGTCCAAACTTTTTTCAAAGAGGGCCAGATTGGATGAAGTGAACATGGTGGAGGGCCGAACATTTTTCCAAACATTCTTTGAACCATTACAATTAAATGCAAATAAATTATTTTATGCCAAGTTACCGTATTTTTCGCCGTATAAGACGCACCTGACCATAAGACGCACCTAGGTTTTAGAGGCAGAAAACAGGAAAAAAAAATTCTGAACTAATGGACTGCAGACACAGTACAGGAGATGACCAGAGACTGCAGACACAGTACAGGAGATGACCAGAGACTGCAGACACAGTACAGGAGATGACCAGAGACTGCGGACAGCACAGGGATGACCAGAGACTGCGGACAGCACAGGGATGACCAGAGACTGCGGACAGCACAGGGATGACCAGAGACTGCGGACAGCACAGGGATGACCAGAGACTGCGGACAGCACAGGGATGACCAGAGACTGCGGACAGCACAGGGATGACCAGAGACTGCGGACAGCACAGGGATGACCAGAGACTGGGACAGCACAGGGATGACCAGAGACTGCGGACAGTACAGATGACTGCTGACCTTTGGGGAGGTGGGGAGCGGGTACCTGAATCTGACAGGTACCCGCTCTTACTTCCGCAGTTGTTCTTTGATCTTACCTGTTCCTCGATCCAGCCGCGCGCTGTCTTCCCGGCTTCTGTAATGGCGCTCGGCATGACAGCCGGGTGCCCAGTGCGCATGAGCGAGAAGCACTTGCGCTTTGTGATTGGTCCGGCGGCTTCTGGGATCTGTCATGTGTCCCAGGTACCGCCTTACCATTCACAAAAAGCACCGCTTCTTGCGCATGCGCACTTGGCACCCGGCTGTCATACCCAGCGCCCACACTACAGAAGCCGGGAAGACAGCGCGCCGCTGGATAGAGGAACAGGTAAGGTCCCGCTGCAGAGCTGAGCGGCCGGCCCGGTATTCTGACACGGCCGCGGTGGAAATACCGGACCGGCCGCTCCATATTCGCTCCATAAGACACACTGACACACTAACATGGAGGGCCGTATTAAACCGACCCTCGGGCCGTAAATGGCCCGCGGGCCGGACTTTGGACATGCCTGGCATATGCAGATTGATTTTACTGTTGTGGGTTTAGTAACACTTTAATGCAAAGTAACTTATTTCCTGTGTTTTGTAGCACAGATTTCACTTTGATTAACTGAAGTCTACCAAGAAGCAGCTGCAAAATGTACAGTGAGGAAGAGAAGTATTTGAACACCCTGCGACTTTGCAAGTTCTCCCACTTAGAAATCATGGAGGGGTCTGAAATTCACATTGTAGGTACATTCCCACTCGGAGAGACAGAATTAAAAAAAAAAATCAGGAAATCACATTGCATGATTTTTAAAGAATTTATTTGTCTTGCACTGCTGAACATAAGTATTTTGAACACCTGGGAAAATCAGTGTTAATATTTGGTACAGAAGCTTTTGTTTGCAATTACAGAGGTCAAACGTTTCCTGTAGTTCTTGACCAGGTCTGCACACACTGCACACACTGTTTTGATTACTAACAGTTTTCCTCCCTGTCAGCTCAGGCACACTGCTTTGCATGGCTGTGCACAGCACAGCCATCCAAAGCAGTGTGCTTACAATGAAGCACAAAGACACCGCCCCATAGTAAAACACACCCAGCAATGATTACTGTATTGGTGTCACTGGGGATGTCAGTGACACCAAGTCAGTTCCCCCCCCAGTGTCAGAATGTCTGCTACAGCCCCCCTATAAATCTCTGATCACCACCATTACTAGTAAATATTTTAAAAAATCCTAGTATAAATATACCGCCATTTATAAACACTGTGACTTTCACATAAACCAATTAATTTACACATATTGTGGGGGTTTTTTAGCAAAGACATGTAGCAGAATACATTTTGGCCTAAATTTATGATAATTTTTTTTACTGGACATGTTTAATAGCAAAAAGTAAAAAATAATGTTTTTTTCTCAAAACTGTCAGTCTTTTTTGTTATAGCGTAAAAAATAAAAACCGCACAGGCAATCAAATACCACCAAAAGAAAGCTCAATTCTTGGGAAAAAAGGATGTAAATTTCATTTGGGTGCAGCGTTGCATTACCGCGCAATTGTCAGTTAAAATAATGCAGTGCCGTAATGCAAAAAATGGCCTGGTCAGGAAGGGGGGTAAATCCTCAGGAGGGCAAGTGATAAATAATATAACTCATGAGGTATTTTAGTGACTGTGCGGTATCTTATTGCATTCTCAGATGTGGTAAGATACCGCTTTGTGCATTGTCCCTGTTTGAAGTTCACTGTTGAACGTTTGGGAGGTTCGACCGCGAACCTAACGGGGGTGTTTGGCCAATCACTAAAGCATTTCATGCATGATTTGTAGAAAACATTCAGTATGCAGCTCCCCCTCAGCCCCCCTTTATGCTTATCTGAGCCCGATCCAGCGAAGTGCACGAGAGCAGCTTCTGTCCCAGCTCTCTGCTTTCGTATTGGCTCAGACAGCAGCAGGAGGCATTGGGCCCCACTGCTGTCAATCACAGCCAGTGAGGAGGGGGGCAGGCCCCGTTCTGTGTGTCTTATGGACACACAGAGTGGGGCTCGGGTGTGAGCATGCACAAGTGCTCCCATACCAAGCGGCTTGTTATGGGAACTCTCGGGGGGGAGCCCAGAGCACTGGGCAGAGCAGGTAAATATGTTTGTTTTTTTAATTAAGCCTTTAGTATGGTGTGCTATAACCCATGGCACCCAATCAACTTTCATTAGTAAAATTAAAGAAACCACTCAGATATCAGTTTCCATTAATCTAATTACACATGTAAAATGT